CGGAAGAGTTCTTGTGCAAAAGGTCTTCCACAAGAGTGCGTCCACACTGCCATGTGCTTTTGCGCAAGAGATGTGCTTTTGCACAAGAGCGTCCATAGCAGTGTATGCCATGGCCATTTTAACCATAGGGGCTTCTTGCGCAAGAAATTCATGTTGCCTGTCTACACTGCCCTCTTCTGAAAGGGCTCTTGCGCAGGAGGGCTTATTCCTCATGGGGAGAGGAATAACTCTTCTGGAAGAAGCCCTGTTTTACAACACTGTACTGTAAATTTACTTGCGCGAGAACGCTCATGCAGTGTAGACAGCAGGCAAGTTTTTGCGCAAGAACAATTGTTCTTGCACAAGAAGCTGCCAGTGTAGACGTAGCCAAATAGTTTAGTAAGACACTTTTTCCCTTTATAAAATCCATGTTGAGTTTCTCCCAACAAATTATATTAGTCTATGTGTCTGACTATTCTATTCTTAACTATGGTTGCAACTAATTTGCCTGATACTGATGTTAGACTTCATGGTCTGTAATTGCCAGGGTCACCTCTAGAATCCTCAGCTATCACATTAGCTATCTTCCAGTCATTAGGTACAGAAGCTGATTTAGCTCCTTTTTGGCTTTCTTTATTCTATTTTTACACTTAATTTGACAAAGTTTATGCTCCTTTCTATTTTCCTCACTAGGATTTAATTTCCACTATTTAAACAACACCTTTTTATCTCTCACTGCTTGCCAGTTAGGAAATCACTCACCATGTACTTGTGAGGGGTACTGATCCAGGATTCTGGACGAGCCTCCAAAAATGCAACCCTTTTGCCAGATAGCACCACCAGCAGCCAGGGCCAGGTTCAATACTTAGGGGTTTCTCTCCATCCATCCAACATAGAACTGGTTTGAGCCCCTACCCAGTGACCTGGGAAATTCACACAATCCCTCTGGGTGCCACTGGGAGGCAGTGCTTCCTGACTCACAAGCACAGAGTCTGAGTGTAGAAGAGAAACTTTTAACAAAAGGGAAAAGAAATAATGTAAAACAAGAAGTAAAACACATTTTGGAAAACACCACAAACAGAGTTCATAGGAAAACACCACAAACACATTTCAAACAAATCCATGAGTAAGTGTCCCAGCTCAAGTAGGTTGGGCAATGTCTCAAGTTTTCAAGTTCAGCAATGTAATTGTCCCATTCACATGCCCAACCTTTCTCTGCACCCCACTCAGTCCCGGCCCTTGGTCAGAGCAGAACAGAGTTCAGAGGTGATCTGCAGAGTTCACCTCCCATCCTGAGGGGGTGGGTAGGAGTCATCTCACCCACTCCACTGGTCACTTGCCATCCACCTGCTCACTGCTGTCTGGCACTGCCCTGCTGGCTATTCATTGCCCCTCAGTGCCACCGCTCTGCTGGCCATTCCTTGCACCTCTCCATCTGTCGCCCCTCGCTGACGCTGCTCTGCTGGCTGCTCCTCACACCTCTTCATTGGGCATCCCTCGCTGTTGCCGCTGTGCTGGCTGCTCCTCATGCCTCTCCTTCGGTCACCTCTCACTGCCCCCACTCTGCTGGCTGCACCGCACGACGCCTCTCCGTTACCACCCTGATGACTGCTAATTGCATCTTATGCTGGTGTCTCTTGGCCCAAAGCACAATCCCAAAGCACAATCCAGCCACAAGAGATTCCAGCATTCACTGGAGTAAGTTTCTATACTAAAGGGACTCCATATGGAGCCTTTCTTTAACTCTATCTTTGAAACAGTGGGGAGAAACAGATTGAGCCAGTCTTTCAGCTCATGCATGGAGGAAATTCAGCCAGCTGACTCACCTCCCTCCCCAGCTCAATCTATAGGTCTCTGAGGCTATGTCTACACTGCAGGCTTTTTGCTCGAGAAGCTTTTTTGTGGAAGAGATCTTCCTCAAAAACTTATTGCGCAAAAGCGCATCCACACTTCCAAAGCACATCACAAAAGTGATGTGCTTTTGTGCAAGAGAGCTTCCATACTGCATGAATGCTCTTGTGCAAGAAAGCTCTGATTGCCATTAACAGAATGGCCATCAGGATATCCGTGCTTTTTGTGACAGGCTCTTTTTGCACAAGAAACTCCTGTTGAGCAGCCACCCACACCTGTTTGCACAAGAACTTTTGTAGAAAGAGGAATACCTACACTACAAAAAGCCCTCTGTTCTGCTGTTTTACTGTAAATTTTCTTGCACAAAAACATGTATGAGGTGTGGACGTGCTGCGAGTTTTTGCACAAAAACAGCTGTTTTTGCGCATAAACCCTGTATTGTAGACATAGACTGAAAGACCAGCCTCTGTCCATTTTAGGGTACGTCTAGACTACAGGGTTTTGTCGACAGAAGTTTGGTCGACAGATACTGTCGACAAAGCTTCTGTCGACAAAGAGCGTCTACACTACATTCAGTTCTGTCGACAAAGCAAGTTGCTTTGTTGACATGGCAGTGTAGACGCAAGGACAGTTTAGATGCAATAACGTTTTCTGTCGACAGAACTCTGTCGACAGAAAGCGTTATGCCTCGTGAAATGAGGTTTACCAGCGTCGACAAAACTGCTGAGTTCTGTCGACGTTATGTCGACAGAACTCAGCGGTAGTGTGGATGCAGGTATAGTTTTGTCACCCTAAGTGTATTTATACTGACAGGTTCTCTCCTTTTAACTGAATTAAACCTAGTCTGACTTTTCTGCATTCCCACAATAACTACAAGCATTGGTGGTCATATCTTACAATTCCTGCATTTAGTTTTAATACAGTTTGTGACCCCCACAACAGCCAAATTGGTTACAATGGGCAAAGCACCTCCTAACAGGTGAACATCTAGCAGGCCTGAGCAACCTGATTGAAGTAACCACACCAGGATTCCTCTTCCATTCTAGCTAGCTGTAATGTAAGCACTGATTCAGACCCTGCTTACATGCATTCAGTTATTTACAGGCTTCTCATCTCAAATATTTGTTTTTTGAGAATGTTATACAGAATGGTCACTTGGATGAATGGAAATAAAATATAAAAAGTCTCTTGCTATTTGTCCAATAAAAAAAGTGTATAGATGAATAAATACTTCCAGCTCAGCTTTAAAATCATTATTCTGCTACACAGAGCATATAACGAGACAAATTAGCAAAACATCATGGAGGAATCTTGCAGGCTACTGAGAATGAGAAAAGGATGATATTTTATGGGAGCAAATGTAAACCCTTAAACATCATGAATTTTATCACAAGTCATGGACATGACAAAATATAACACTTTCTTCCATCAAAACTGAGGAATAGGTCCTGTAGGAACTGAGAATTAAAAAGCACATAGCAAATGAAAACCATCTGGCAACCTGCAATACCTTCACGCCTGGAACAGTCAGAAATTGCCAAGGATGTCGTGTCAATAGCATTGGCTCAAGGGTTGTATTTCTAAAATCTTACAAAAAGCCTTCTGTTGTAGGATAGGAAAAAGCCATATTAACTGATAGGATTTATACCTACAGAAAACAAACAGCTAAGACTGGTGAATGGGACAGATCGCTGCTCTGGGAGAGTGGAGATTTATTATAATGGCACCTGGGGGACAGTCTGTGATGATTCCTGGGATCTTTCAGCTGCCAATGTCGTCTGCAAACAACTGGGATGTGGACAAACCATCAATGCATCAGTCTCTGCTCGTTACGGGCCAGGATCTGGTCAGATTTGGCTGGGTGATGTGAATTGCTCTGGGAATGAATCCAGTCTCTGGGTGTGTCCTTTCAGGGAATGGGGTCAGTACAACTGTAAGGATCATGAGGATGCTGGAGTTATCTGCTCAGGTCAGTTTTTTGAATGTTTTCTTTAATCTGATTAAATTAAATGTAATAAAATGAGAAGGCAGCTGATACAGAAATCTTTCTCCTTGCTGGTCACAAAAAATTTTGGACATTGTTGCCTTTCAGATCTTGAGAGCTGAGTTCATAACCATAAGGGTCAGAAGTGAGAAACAACCTACTGTGTCTCTTTTCTTAGTCACTGTTGTTTGTATTACAGCTTTCATCACCTAATGCTGAAAAAGACAAAACACTGATCAAAAGAGGCCAAAGACTTGAATAGCATAGGTTGCGGCCGGTTAGAAGTACTGTGTCCTGGCCAGGTTCCAGGAGCGCCCAGAACAGAAATACCATGTGACTCTCAGTATCTTGATTTATGGCAACTGTCAGAACTGACAGTTTTGGGGATATGAAGGTTAATCAGCATCTCACCATATTTGTCCTGTGCTTCATTGCACAGAGCTAAAGTTAATCAAACCAGTATAGTGGGTATCTTTAGTAGTGATGTTAGATACCGTGTAGTTGAATAATCGGGTAACTATCAAATTTCAGTGGTTACATGACTATTTGATACTCTCTGGGAGTGGGGCCAGCAGCCACTGTTCTCCTGGCCCTACTCCTGGGTAGTGCCCTGCTACTCGGTGCTGCTGCCTCTGTATCAGAAGCATCAGCACGAGATAGCAAGCAGAAACCAGTCCGTGAGGGGTGCCAGTTTAAAAACCAGCTCTCCGTGCATACCAGCCCCTGCCAGCCACCCAGGCAGCGGCAACAGCTCCTGTCCGCGGGGGGAGGGTGAGCTCCCCAGGAACAGAGGCTGCGCTGTTATCTCACAGATCAGCCTCACCTGCCTCCTCCCACGCTGCTGCCTTTGCCTTTGGGGACAGGGATGCAAAAATCTGTGCCTGTGAGGAGCCGGCTTTTAAGCCTGCTCTCCCACCCCCATGCTGCTGCCTCTGATAGAAGCAGCAGCACCTGGGGGGAGGGGTCAGAGAGTGGAGCTAGAGCTTGTGGGGAGCCAGCTTTTGAGATGGCTCCCCCTAAGCACCAGCTCCTGCCTGCTCCCCTGCCTTTATGGGAGGCAGCAAAAGGGGAGAGCGGACTGCTCTGTGGGATCCAGTACTTGTGGGGAGCTGGCTCCTCACAGGCACTGACTCCCCACTTCTCCCACCCAGCCTTTGACACAGAGGCAGCAAGGGGGTAGGGGAATGTGTGTGTGTAATTGACACAATTAACTGATAAGCCCAGGATTATCGGTAAATCATGTACTCAACTACACATTGACATCCCTAGTTCCCCAGGAAAGCCTTGATCCATTTGGAAATTCACATATGCTGCCAGTATTAGATTGGGAACTGTAGGGGGAAAGTTATGCCATTGGAGTTCTCATCCGCAAATTTTAGCATCCACGATATCTAAGATCATAGAATCATAGAACCATAGAGCTGGAAGAGACCTCAGAAGGTCATCAAGTCCAGCCCCTGCCCAAGGCAGGACCAATCCCAATTAAATCAACCCAGCCAGGGCTTTGTCAAGCTGAGACTTAAACACCTCTAGGGATGGAGACTTCACTACTTCCCTAAGTAACCCTTTCCAGTGCTTCACCACCCTCCTAGTGAAATAGTTTTTCCTAATATCCAACCTGGACCATTGCTCCTTGTTCTGCCATCTGTCACTACGGAGAACAGCCTCTCTCCATCCTCTTTGGAACCTTCCTTCAAGAAGTTGAAGGCTGCTATCAGATCCCCCTCACTCTTCTCTTCTGCAGACTAAACAGACCCAACTCCCTCAGCCTCTCCTCGTAGGTCATATGCTCCAGCCTCCTAATCATTTTGGTTGCCCTCCACTGGACCCTCTCCAATGCATCCACATCCTTCCTGTAATTGGGGGCCCAGAACTGGACACAATACTCCAGGGCTACGTCTAGACTACATCCGTTTTTCGTAAAAGGGATGTAAATTAGATGCATCGCAATTGCTAATGAAGCGGGGATTTAAATCTCCCCCGCTTTTAGCATGAACATGGCTGCCACCTTTTTTCGGCACGGAGCTTTGCCGGAAAAAAGCGCCAGTCTAGACATGGATCTTGTGGGAAATAAAGCCTTTTCCGAAAGATCCCTTATCCCTCTTTGAAATAAGGGATAAGGAATCTTTCGGAAACAGCTTTATTTTCTGAAAGATCTGCGTCTGAAAGATCTGCGTTTATGCTAAAAGCGGGGGAGATTTAAATCCCTGCTTCATTAGCAATTGCGATACATCTAATTTACATCCCTTTTACGAAAAACGGATGTAGTCTAGACGTAGCCCAGATGTGGCCTCATCAGAGCCGAGTAAAGAGGAATAATCACTTCTCTGGATCTGCTGGCAATGCTCCTCTTAATGCAACCTAATATGCCATTAGCCCTCTTGGCTACAAGGGCACACTGTTGACTCATATCCAGCTTCTCATCCACTCTAACCCCCAGCTCCTTTTCTGCAGAACTGCTACTTAGCCAGTTGTTCCCCAGCCAGTAACAATGCTTGGGATTCTTCCGTCCCAAGTGCAGGATTCTACACTTGTCCTTGTTGAATCTCATCAGATTTTAATTAAACTAATACTTTCACCATCTACACCAAGATTTTATGAAAACTAAGGTTCCTTTGCTATTATATTTGCTCAATAAATTACAGACAGAAAAATAAGGAGGGACATATGAGAGTGGCAGTGGCTGACACGGAATATTGAATTTAACATAGAATATTGAAATTATCAAGAAATATCAAGTCAAAATTTTAAATCCAATCAGTCTTATTACAGAGAGATACTCACTTTAATTCTATAATATTCTGAGTAGGCAATTTTGGTATCAGTACTGAGCTATAGATCCCTGGTTCAAAATCTTCTCTATTTGCTAGTTAGCATTTTATTCAATATCATTTACACTATTTATTTATTTCTTCAAATTTTTAAAGTATAACTATAGGCCCTCTGTCTTGGAATCCATAGCTCTAACAGGCTTTATTCAAATGTTTATCCAAGAGCACATTCAAATCTGGAAATTTAAAAATGTAAGTAAATAAATAAGAAATGCCACTTCAGTTCCAGAGCGTAATTCATTTCCCCACTACCATCACATCAAGGACTGCTTTTGGGGGTTGTTGGCTGGGGCTTTGTTGGGCAGGCAGCTTGTCTCTTTCTTTTGTCGAAATAAAATTCATGCGAGTGAATTTCAAGTAGAGCTCTCCAGAAAATGGAATTTCCATTCCGTCAGAAATTCAGATATTTCTGTGTGTTTTCATTTGGAAACAGGATAAAAACATTAAATCTCAACAATCTTCATGGAAAGAAAAGCTCAAGAAGGTTTTATTCAGTAATGTTGACATGAACTTTTTTGACATTTTGGATTGAAATTGAATATTTTTGTTTCTCTGTATTGAAATATTTGAAATTTCAGAATGGTAATTTGAAATGAAATGTCTCATGTCTAACTTTCCTATTGAAAAATTGGGGAAAAAAATTCTCCTTGGGGAGAAAAAGCAACAATGATAATCATATACTTTATTGGGATTTTTTTCTATCAAAAAATGTCAACCAACTTTAAGAATTTAAGTAAGTAAATAATAAAATGAGGCTTCATTTCAATGATACAATTTCCTGTCTTCGGCCTCAATTCTGCAAAGTAAGAACATGTTTAATTGCTTTTTCACTTTAGGTCCATACTTCTTTAACTATTTCCAGTCTCCAGTTCTGGATACAAATGTGACCTTGTGGCAGAGGCAGCTCCTTTTATCACTATAACAAATTCAATATTGTAGACATTTGTTTAGTAACTATAATTTTATAACATACAATATATCATTTGTAATGTGCTGCAGTAAATGCTATTCAATATATTCACATCACTCCAAAACTCAGGTCTTGTTTGCTCAGAGTGTTGAATGGTGAAAGTTGGAGTGATGGGAGAGTCAAGGTTTATCTCCGTGATATTCAATACTATGGTGTGCAGGCAGCTACATTGAGGTGATACAGAGAAAGTACAAAACAAAGCCTGCATGTTTGTCACAGAAAAAATGTAGAAGTCATCACTTCAATATGTGAACAAAAAGTCACACAACACAAACAGGCTACGTCTACACTGGCATGATTTTCCAAAAATGCTTTTAACAGAAAAGTTTTCCGTTAAAAGCATTTTCGGAAAAATCGCTTCTAGATTGGCAGGATGCTTTCCCGCAAAAGCACTTTTTGCGGAAAAGCATCCGTGGCCAATCTAGATGTGGTTTTCCGCAAAAAAGCCCCGATAGTCATTTTCGCGATCGGGGCTTTTTTGCGGAAAACAGTACTCTGCTGTCTACACTGGCCCTTTTGCGCAAAAGTCTTTTGGAAAAAGACTTTTGCCCGAACGGGAGCAGCATAGTATTTCCAGAAAAGCACTGATGATTTTACAGGAGATCGTCAGTGCTTTTCCGTAAATTCAAGCAGCCAGTGTAGAAAGCTGGCAAGTTTTTCCGCAAAATCAGGTGATTTTGCGGAAAAACTTGCCAGTCTAGACACAGCCACATTGTTTGAAGCTATGTTATAATTCTCTGATTAAAATAATTTATTAAATCCATTATACACTACACCAGACCTAATAGTTTTGATCCAAAAGACTTATGAAGTAAATGGAAAAAGTCACCCTGACCATATATAGATTTTCAAATAGGCTTAGGGAAAGCCAGATTTCCAAATTCATGGAAGACTCCAGCTCAGTAGCTGACATCCTGGAATGACAAAGAGCAGCCCTTTGAGCAGGGAAGCAACCTTAAATACCTTTAATTTTGGCCCAGGCATTATGGCCATTATCACCAATCTTCTGAAGCATTAATGAGGAACAAACCATATGAGAGAGAGAACTGTAAGCATGAAGGAGATGAGAGTCAGTCTGACAACCTCCAACATCCCTACATCTGTCATAGCACAATAAGAAACTGCTGAAGATGTTGGTGTAGTTTGCTCAGCTATTTTACTTCTGAAATCTCATATTCATCATATTGTTTCTATGACCTATTAACAGCTGAGATTTAACCCTACAGGAAGCAAACAGATCAAACTTGTGAGTGGGGCAAGTCCCTGTGCCGGCAGAGTGGAAATTTATTACCAAGAGACCTGGGGGACAGTCTGTGATGATTCCTGGGACCTGACAGACTCCGATATAGTTTGCAAAGAATTGGAATGTGGACATGCCATCAATGCAACTGTCTCTGCTCATTATGGGCAGGGATCAGGTCAGATCTGGCTGGCTGATGTGAACTGCTCTGGAAGTGAAACCAATCTTTGGATGTGTCCTTCCAGAGATTGGGGTCAGAACAACTGTGGGCATCATGAAGATGCAGGAGTGCTCTGCTCAGGTTAGTTCTGTTTTGTTCTATTTAACCTGTGGGACAGAGACTTTTGGATACTCCAGTCAGTTTCATTGTTAAGGTTGAATTCTGTTTTGCACTTAAAGCTAGTGTTCAACCTCTTTGTTATGTAAGATAACTATATTACATCATCCCCTGAGTTACTGCAGAATATGATCTGGAGAAGTGAGTCTGCTCCACAAAAGCTCATCACCTAATAAACTATCTTGTCAGTCTTTAAAGTGCTACATGACTGCTTTAAAGTGCTACATGACTGCTTTTTTTGTTTTACCAAGATCAGACTAACATGACTACCTTTCTGTTGCATTTACTCTGTTGCATTTGTCCCAAATTATTTTAATAACAGAATAAAACAGACTCTCCAAACTCTCTGTACAGTTAAAATGTATTAAAATTTTGTGCATACACTGTTTGAAGAAATTAGATACAATTTTTGTATCTAATTGTTATGACTATATCTCCTACAAATAGGCTCAGCTTATTCTTCATTGGGATCATGGCAGCACCAGTAATAATTCAATCACGACTCCACTTTATACAGCTAAACTGCATACAACAATTCTGTTGGTTATAGCTGATAAATGTTCTTGAAAGGCTCCCCATGGAATTGCCCCATTGGATCCACTGCACATTATTAGCAACACTGACAAGAGAAATGAGACAGGAACATAGATCTCCAAGGCTACGTCTAGACTGGCATGATTTTCCGGAAATGCTTTTAACGGAAAAGTTTTCCATTAAAAGCATTTTCAGAAAAGCGCATCTAGATTGGCAGGACGCTTTTCCGCAAAAGCAGTTTTTGCGGAAAAGCGTCCATGGCCAATCTAGACACGCTTTTCCGCAAAAAAGCCCCGATCGCCATTTTCGCGATCGGGGCTTTTTTGCAGAAAACATGGCCCTTTTGCGCAAAAGTTTTTCGGAAAAAGACTTTTGCCCAAACGGGAACAGCATAGTATTTCCGCAAAAGCACTGACAATCTTACATGAGATTGTCAGTGCTTTTGTGGAAATTCAAACGGCCAGTGTAGACAGCTGGCAAGTTTTTCAGGAAAAGCAACTGTCTCCCACAATATTCTTGCCAGCAAGTTAAGGGGATATGGATTGGATAAATGGACTGCAAGATGGATAGAAAGCTGTCTAGGCTGTTGGGCCCAATGGGTAGCAATCAACGGGTTGATGTCAGGATGGCGGATGGTGTCTAGCGGAGTCCCGCAAGGATCGGTTCTAGAACTGATTTTGTTCAACATCTTTATTAATGACCTGGATGAGGGGATGGATTTGCACCCTCAGCAAGTTCACAGATGACACTAAGCTAGGGGGAGAGGTAGATATACTGGAGGGCAGGGATAGGGTCCAGAGTGACCTGGACAGATTAAAGGATTGGGCCAAAAGAAATCTGATGAGGTTCAACAAGGACAAGTGCAGAGTCCTGCACTCGGGACAGAAGAATCCCAAGCATTGTTACAGGCTGGGGACCGACGGGCTAAGTAGCAGTGCTGCAAAAAAAAAAAAAAAACCTGGGGATTACAGCAAGTTCACTGTATGAGAAGCAGGATATGAGTCAACAGTGTGCCCTTGTAGCCAAGAAGGCTAATGTCATATTAGGGTGCATTAGGAGGAGCATTGTCAGCAGATCCAGAGAAGTGATTATCCCCCTTTATTCAGCTCTGGTGAGGCCACACCTGGAGTACTGTGTCCAGTTCTGCCCCCACATCTGGAGTATTGTGTCGAGTTCTGGCCCCCCCACTATAGAAAGGATGTGGATGCATTGGAGAGGGTCCAGCAGAGAGCGACCAAAATGTTTAGGAGGCTGGAGCGCATGACCTATGAGGAGAGACTGAGGGATTTGGGTTTGTTTAGTTTGCAGAAGAGAAGAGTGAAGGGGGATTTGATAGCAGCCTTCAACTTCCTGAAGGTAAGTCCAAAGAGGATGATGAGAGGCTGTTCTTAGTAGTGACGGATGGCGGAACAAGGAGGGGGGAGGTCTAGGTTGGATATTAGGAAAAACTTTCCCTAGGCGGGTGGTGAAGCACTGGAATGGGTTACCTAGGGAAGTGGTGGACTCTCCATCCTTATAGGTTTTTAAGTCTCATCTTGACAAAGCCGTGGCTGGGTTGATCTAGTTGGATTGGTCCTGCTTTGGGTAGGGGGCTGAACTTGATGACCTTCTGAGGTCTCTTCCAGCTCTTTGATTTTAAAATAATTTCCATAATTAATTGACGGTCTAAAATGTAATTACTACCTCCACTGCACTGACAAGTGGAGAACTAAAGTTCAAAAAGTCTTGCTTGGTATCAGGATGCCCAGAATCACAGCATTAATTTTTGTGGGGGAAATATCATGGATTTTGTCTCAGAATTAATGACCATAACAAACATATAGCCTCTTTTTCAACTCTTTCAAGGTCTGAAATTATTTTGAAATAACTAAAATCAACATAACTCCTGAAATGAAATTGAAATAGTGTCTCCCCACTATAGTGAAGCCTCAAAATTAGTCTGAGGCAGGCTCCATTAATGTGGATACACTACTTTGATTTAGAGCCCCAGGAAGCACTGGGAAGTAATTAGTTCAAGTTACTCTGGGGAATAGTTATTTTGAAATAGCAGCACCAGAGTGTCCACACTAATGATATTTAGAAATAACTGTTTTGAAATTAGCGTTATTCCCTGAAAAAAACAGAAGTACAGAGTTTGAAATAAGAGGCTCTTTATTTCAAAATAATGGGGTTGGTAGTGTGGGACACTGCTTATGAATTCAGCATAAAGGAGGTTATTTTGAAATACCTCCCTAGTGTAGACCTAGGCTAAAAGAATGGAGACAAGTCACTGAGGCCGTGTCTAGACTACATGCCTCTGTCGTCAGAGGCATGTAGATTAGACACATAAGCAAAGGCAAATGAAGCCGCGATTTAAATGATCGCGGCTTCATTTAAATTTACATGGCTGCCGCACTGAGCCAACGAACAGCTGATCAGCTGTTTGTCCGCTCAGCATGCTAGTCTGGATGCTCCCCTGCCGACATCAAAGCCCTTTGTCGGCAGCCCCGTTATTCCTCGTGGGATGAGGTTTACCGGGGCTGCCGACAAAGGGCTTTGATGTCGGCAGGGGAGCGTCCAGACTAGCGCGCTGAGCGGACAAACAGCTGATCAGCTGTTTGTCGGCTCAGCGTGGCAGCCATGTAAATTTAAATGAAGCCGCGATCATTTAAATCGCGGCTTCATTTGCCTTTGCCAAAACAATAAATCTACATGGCTCCGTCGATGGAGCCATGTAGTTTAGACGTACCCTCAGTAACAATCTCCACACCTTATATAGCCCAGTAAGGAATTGCTGACAATGTCATTGTCTTTTATTCTGGTGTTTTATTTCTGAAATTTTACAGACACTCTCCAGTTCTATAATAATGACATATTAATAGCTGACATTTATCCTTACAGAACACAAGCAGATCAGACTGGTGAATGGTGCAGATCATTGCTCTGGCAGAGTAGAAATTTATTACAATGGCAACTGGGGAACAGTCTGTGATGATTCCTGGGACCTGTCAGACTCCAATGTTGTTTGCAAACAATTGGGATGTGGACATGCCATCAACGCAACTCTCTCTGCTCATTATGGGGAAGGATCTGGGCAGATCTGGCTGGATGATGTGAACTGCTCTGGGAACGAATCCAATCTCTGGGCATGTCCTTTCAGGGGCTGGGGCCAACACAACTGTGGACACACCAATGATGCAGGAGTTATCTGCTCAGGTAGGTTGTCCAAGTTCTCTGTTTTAATTCAAACAATCAAGTGTTGACAGAGATGAATTTAATTAATAACATTATATTTCATAAAATGTAAACCATAACATAAAACATTAAAAACTATAAATTATGTTTTAAATTTAAATGCAGCAATAAAACAAATATATCATTGATAAAGGATCATTTCTATGTGGGATTCATGAATTTTTTTCTGGCATTCATTCCTGTGGAATGATTATTAGCCTTGCAACTCCTGAGGGGAGGAGTTCAAATTACTGTTTGGCTCAGAAGTGAGGAGTCCAGTGTGTCTCTTTTCCTTTAGTCCCCACTGTTTCATGCTACAGATTTCACCACAAATGGCAATTTCTATTTAAGAGGAGTGTTGAACTAAAGCTTTATGATGGCTTACAGACTGAATAGCAGGAGTCCTGCAGGTCTAAACAAATATATATTAGTAGAAGCAAAGACACAGAGAGGAATAAGTTAATCACTTATTCACTATTTATCCTTTGCACATGCTGAGCCTGAGATTAGCAACAATGACAAAGAACTTGACTATGTATGGGGGTCAGGGTGGGAATATGAGAGTCATAAATGTTGTCAAAAAATCTTAGCCATGACAGCCTTACTTACTTGGAAGAACCGGTTCTGAGTATGTTGGAAACTGAAGAATGTGTGAGCCCATGAAACACTATGCGTTATGTCCAAGTTAGAGACAATACGGTGAAGAATTGTTAAGGTTGTCTTCATCATTTTCTCACTTGTTGAATTTCTAGAACATCCTCATTTTTCATCAATTACAGAACATATTAATAACATTTTTACAGAGAGCAGGCAAGTCAGACTTGTGAATGGAGCAGACCATTGTGAGGGAAGAGTGGAGGTTAATTACAGAGGCACGTGGGGGACAGTCTGCGATGATTCCTGGGACTTATCAGATGCCAACGTTGTTTGCAAACAACTGGGATGTGGCCATTCTGTCAATGTGACTGCTGCTTATTATGGGGAAGGATCAGGGCAGATCTGGCTGGATGAATTAGACTGCTCTGGAAATGAATCCTATCTGTGGGCATGTCCTTCCAAAGGATGGGGCCAGCACAACTGTGGACACAAAGAAGATGCCGGAGTTCTCTGTTCAGGTCTGTTCTGCAAATCCTCTCTAACCTAATTATTAGGGAATTAATATAAAAGATTAATGTTAACAAACACAAAAGCAATGATACGAGAAGGCTGCTGATAATGGTAAAGGAGAATGTCCCTGCTGATTAGAATTCTTTCTGGCTTTTCTCCGGTGGAGTAACTTGTCTTTTAGATCCCGACAGTAGCATTCAAATCCAGGTTTGACTCAGAAGTGAAGAGTCTGGCGAGTCTTCTGCCAGAATCCCAATTGGTTGAAACCACAGATTTCATCTCTTAATTTTGCACAGCTGCCAATTTTTGCCCAGGAGAGGCAAAGGGCTAGAAAAGCAGTGGGTGCCATAGATCAGGGCTGAAGTGAACGGATAGAAATGTAAGGGAACCTAGGTCTGAAATAGTGCTGTGTGGTCCTGGTCTGAAATGAGAAATGCTGGTAGAAATGGGGTGTGGCCTGTGGAGGGAAATAGATCCCTACAGGGCTTTTCAAAGGTGCCTAACCAGGCATTAGGCAAGGGATGTTAATGGTTAATTGGTAAGAAGCGAGCCTTACCAGTGGCCCAGCAAGGCTGGGACAGACTCCTAACCAACTCCACAGTAGGCTGCCACTTTAAACTTCCCCATCAAGGTTGGGGTTGCGGGGGGAGGCGGGGATGTGTGTGTAAGGAGGCCCTTTCCCAGCTCATAAACCATGTGGGAAGCTGCACGAGCCAAGCCTCCCCCTTCCAACCTCCTATGCAACCAACACAGAGACGCTTCGGAGTGCAGAAGCAACGCAGGGAAGTGGCCTCTGCGCTGCTTTCATTCCTGGTTCCACTCAGCAGGCGCCTTGTGGCTCCTGGGCAGCCTTAGTTCCCCAGGGCAACTCAGGGAGAGCGGGCCTGCGGGAGCACCCAAAGGCAGGAACGGGGCAGTTGGCGGACTGAAGGGTAGGTGGGGCGGGATGACAGGAGTCAGGTTCTCTCATAGGGCGCTCTCCGCACCCCACTAGCAGGAGGGTCCACAGCAGGGAGGGACTCGCTGAGGGGCGGAGGGGGCTTGTCTCACCTTCTGCGGCCCCGCATGTTCTCCTGGCCACACAGGCTGCCCTCCCCCCTAGCTGCCACTGATGCCCAGCGCAGGCTGCTCTGCCTGTTGGCGCCAGATCCATTGGCTCGCCCAGCAGTAGCAGTAGGAGGAACAGCGGCGCCTGGGTGAGCAGAAGCCGCCCTCTGCCTCCCACCGGCATGGCGCTCAGCTCTGTCTAGCCAGGCTGCAGTGCCTCCCTCCCCCCATTTAAGTGATTAACCGATTTAACATAGCGTTTAGCCAGCTAACTGACTAAATGGATTTTACATGCCTCATTTCCATTAATGTCCCTTTGAAAATCTCACTAGGCATCTAGCTGCATTTTTAGATACTTACTTGACTTTTTAAAATTTAGGCCCTGATGCCTTTGCATATTTTTTTTCTGCTGTAATCCCCGATACCATAGAGGTGGAATTGATCAGATTGATAAAATAAGTACTCTTAGTGCTCTTCCACCTTGTGAAGATCATGATCTATTTGAAAAAGCTGCATGTGCTGGGCAGTCTATCCTAATTCTGGGAGTTGTAGAAGGGATTAGTGTGTGTAACCATTTGCAAGTGTCAATTCAAATTGGAAAATCTACTTGTCCATTTAAAAGTCTCAGAGGGGTAGCCCTGATAGTCTATAACTGAAAAAAATTTGAAAACAACAAATAGTTCTGCAGCACCTTAAGCTACATCTACACTGCAGGCTTCTTGCACAAGAAGCCTTTTGCTCAAGTGTTTCTGTGCAAAATCATCTAGTGCAAGAGCACATCCATACCTCAAAGCGCATTGCAAAAGCCATGTGCTTTTGCGCAAGAGAGCGTCCATACTGCCTGGATGCTCTTGCGCAAGAAAGTTCAGATGGCCATTTACAGAATGGCCATGAGAGCACCTGTGCTTTTTCCCATAGCATCCACACTTGCCTTATTGTGCAATAGCTGTAGCACAAAAGGGAGTTATGCCTCGTAGAAAGAGGTTTACCTACACCGGCAAAAGCCCTCTGTTCTGCTGTTTCACTGCCGATTTACTTGTGCAAAAGCGCATTTGAGGTGTGGACACTCTGCAGGTTTTTGCAAAAACCTTGCAGTGTAGACTTAGCCTTAGAGACTAACAAAAATGCACATGGTATCATGAGCTTTAATGGGCACAACCCACTTCTAAAGCTCATGATACCATCAACATTTTTTATTAGGTTCTAAGGTGCTGCAGAACTAATTGTTTGTTGTACAAACTTAATATTGTCACCTTATGCATATGCATTATGATGCCATTTTTTATATAATCCCATAATACTTTTTCTTCTGAAACCTTTCTCTTTCAATGCACAGGATGTGGCAACTGTTCAGTATCCTCATTGTTCAACTGTTATCCTCATTGTTCAGTTGTCTCCCGGCCATATTTATTGCAAACCAACAAAACCCTCCACTGGATATCATATTATCAAATCTCTGAAGAGCTTTTCTGTGGCACTCATTGCTGTAGTATCTGAATGTCCGACACATTTTAATAAATTAATGTCAGGGACTCTAGCCCAGACGGCTCGGTTCGTTGTCTGACCGCAAAGAGACAGGCAACACCAGCAAAGTCCAATCACAAGCTCTTTATTGAAGAGTGCACACAACAATAGAGAGCGACCCGTCTCCATAGAGAACCAGCCACGATTTTAGTAACAGGTAGGCTTATAAAGACAGTTTCATCGCGTCATAAGCTCTTCACCCAAGCAACTCAAACCCTTTCTAAAACTTTTAGTATCTATGCATATCTTGGCCAACCATTCATTGTGGCCAGAAGCGCTTCATAATGCATCAGCAACTTTCTTATCAATCACAAAAGGCAGGTACCAGGAACAAGGAGACAAGGGATTTGAGCACAAACGGGCAAAAATAGGGAGGTAAGATCAGCGAAGGGAAACAGAAACAGGGAGTCACTGACCAGTTCCCAAAGCAAGCTGTTCTACTTACAGTAGGTACAAATATGTCATTTATCATTTATCTTACTTTTATAACCTAAGCCAGCATGGAGGGTGCGCTTCTGTTTGAACCACATTCCTGGTTCTGGTCAAGGATACTCAGAGGCCTATGTAATTAGCCTTTGTTAACTTTCCTTAGCATAACGTTGACCAGGCCTTGTTTTCTTGCTTCCAACAATAATCTTCATCACTTCTTAGTGAGGAAGGGAGGTTTTATTCCCATTCTTCATGCAGGGAGAATCTTTGTGCATAGAGAGATTGTAGTGCAATAAAGTAGCCTCCCTCTGAACTGGAGTGTGAGGACGCACGACAAAACTCCCCTGGATGGGCAGAGACAAATCTACCCTGCTCTCCTCACTGGAAGTATCAGGGTGGGACAGGAAGTAAAAAAGAAAGAGCCCTGGAGCGCAGATGCTGCTTACACCCTGGAGAAAGCAGACATCTCTCCTAGGGAGCAGACACTTCCCCCTGGCATGGACTGACACCTTGTCATCAGGGGAGGCAGGTGAGGACCCTGAGGAGCTGACAGAGCTACCAGCAGCTCAGAGACTTAAGGAAATGGGGGATCATTGGACCACTGGACTATACCCAGGCTATATCTACGCTACAAAGATAAATTGGGGGGGAAAAACGCCATTTTTGGCACACAAATGGCCTTTCTTTTTCCAATTTACTTCTGAAAGAGGCTTTTCTGAAATTTGACCCAACTGCACGTGGCCAAAGTTTGGAAAAAACACCCTCTTTCAGAACATCTCTTCTTCCTTGTAAAATGAGGTTTACAGGGTTGCCAACAAAATTAGTCCGCTTTTCCGACATTTTTTTCCTTGGACATGGTAGAGCTTTTCCGGGATACCGGGACAAGCTCTGCAGCCTAGACATAGCCCCAGACTGTGGAAGGAAGTAGTCTAGGAGGACCAAACTCTCATCCAGTTCTGCTGCCAGAGTGTGAGTCATTATGTTGTAGATAAATTCCTGTTGGCGCAGTGGGTGACCACTCCAGCAGTGTTGGAGCCCTGGGTGGGATGCAGTGGAGTCGGATGGGCCCATGTCCCCCGGCCCTCTGACACCCAACCCCAGGGATGGCAGTGCTCCTCCTCTTTAGGCCAAGAGGCCTGTTTTGATACCCTAGACTGTTTTGGTGCTCACTCCTGCCTGAGTCCTAACTCTTTGATGCCTTGCCCTGAGGGCTGCAGCTCTGTCTTAAACGCAAGTCAGAGCTCTAAGGGTATGTCTACACTACAACGTTACCTTGAACGCAAGTCAGAGCTCTAAGGGTACGTCTACACTACAACGTTAATTCGAAAAAACTTAGTTCGAATTAGTTAATTCGAATTAGTTAATTCGAACTAACGGATCCAGACTAAAAAACTAGCGTTTTGCTAATTCGAACTAGCAAGTCCACATTAAGTGGCTTAAGGATGGCCGGAAGCAGTGCCGGCAGGGCATCAGAGGAGGACTTAGAGCATGGAGCTGCTGTCTCAGGCTAGCCGAGGGCTGTCCTTAAAGGGTCCCGACCCCCACCCCGGACAGACAGTTCTCAGGGGTTCCCCGCTTGCAGAGCAGTCCTGGCTTGGATTGCCCGGAGTACCCACACTGGGCACATCACACCACTCGGCCATCAGCCCAGCTGCACTTGCCGCAGGCT